CAGGTGATGAAGTAAACAGGAAACAGAAATGCAGAGTAGACACAGACAAAAGTAAACAAATACAGAGACGGAGACTGGACACAAACAGACAGAGAAACAACCAAGGAAACAAGACTAAGACAGAGTGGACAAAAAAAGGGAACTGACTCAACCAAAAAAGGGACTAAAAACTAGAATTATAAGCACTGGGTGGAAAAATACTAAACACCAAAGCACTAGGCAAATAAAAAGTTATCATTATAAGTAATAATCACATATAAATCCAGAAGCGAATCAAAAACTCACAAAACTCAAAACACACAGATTCTAACAGTCTACGTGTAGCTCTTGAAATAATTGAATTCACCTTTTCAAAACATAAAGTTAATCACAGTTCATTCATGGTTTAATGAGAGGGGCAGACTACTTCATCACATAGGGTCAGGTTGGTTTGGATAGCTTTTCCCCCTTAATAAATCAAATCATCATTTAAAAACTGCATTTTGTATTTACAGGGGTTGTGTTTGTCTAATATGAACAATTTATTGATCTTAAATTTAAGTGTGACAAATGTGCATTTAAAAAAAATACAGAAAGAAGGAAAATAAAAGATGAAGTGGGCAGTTTTCACACTCTGAGCCCTCTGTGGGTCTCTCATATTTGAACCTTCTGAATGAGAGTGGAAAAACTGCTGTGTTTTCTGCTTTGTAAACAGACACTGCTTCAGCCTGAGCTGTGGATTTATTTTCATTCCCAGTTGCTTCTGCCATTAATGAATAATTTAGTCTCAGATAAGTCTTAAAGTCTGTTATGCTACAATAAAGGGCCTTTAAAATTTGCAATGCGTTTTTTCTTCATTGATTATATGGCCTGACCAGTTCCACAGCCAAGTGGTGATATATGCTTACTATCTAAGGCACCACTGAAATTGTGAATCTTGCATCTCCAGTGACGTTAATAGCGAGGAAACACTAATACGAGCAATACAGCTGGACAAACATTTTCACAAGCCGTCCATACTCCAGCTGTTATAGCAGCTTTCATTCCTGCTGCCTTTTGGCCTGCTCCTGCCCCCGGAGAGAAGTAAATCTACAAACTATCATGACAGAATTACATCTCATTGATCAGCTTTCTTTTAAACTGACAGTGGTTTATTCACCCTAAAGAAAACAGATAAATACTACTAAATGATAAAGTCATGGTTTTTTTAGATGATCCATGAACGCTTGACTCACACGCCAAATGCACCGGTCATTTTTTCCAAGGTTTGTATATATAACACAGCCCAAGGTTTTGGATATAAGAAAAGATGCGTTGAGCATATTTGTCCAAGTATTTGTTCAAGGTCAGTTTTCAAGTAAATAAGATGGCTGAATGAAAGGCAGGCATTTTTAAAACCAGCAAACACTCTCAAGCTCTCAAAAAGCTCAAAGGATAAACAGAAAAGGACTGAATAAAGCAGATAAACACGAAAGCAACTATAAAGTCACATTTTTTAAAAAATTAGGTGATGACATCTAAGTACTGAGACACATAAAAAAACCACATTTTATTTTACAATATTTCTGAGATTATTTCAAGATGGAGTGATATTTTAGTCAGGCCCCAATCACAGAGGCCTACAGATCAGTCTGTGACCATCTAATAGGGAAAAATGCATGTATTGTGCAACCAGTTGGCAAGCAGCTGGTGGGAGTTGCTAGTGTTAATTTGATTACAATGCTATACCAAAAACCTCATTTTGATTGCTTTCACTAGCAGTTTGCTGTGGTTACGGCAGTTTGGGTGTAAGATGGCAGCTTGTCTGTAAACACAAACTGCTTGCCAAGTGGTTGAGAAACTGTAATTGTGTTGCAAATTGGAAACGGACACCATTCACCTTCAAAGTCAAAGCTACACCTGTTGCAATGTGTTGGCTTCAGCGCTGACGTGGAACTTTTACTCTGGAGGTGAACGTTCTACATTTCTGGTTTCCACCACACTTTTTCAAATTTCACTACCATTTAGAGAGTATTTGCAGACAAATCAGCATCTTTCATGCAAACCACAGGTAACCACAATTAACTGCTAGCAACCAAAGCAATCACAACAAGGTTTTTGATAGAGCACCCTCTATCAAAACAACCAGAGGTTTCCAAAAGGTTGCCAAACACTCTCTAGGCCTAAGTGACTGATGGGTAAGATAGCTAGGCATGCTAAAGCTGCAGAAATGGCACATACTACAGTTCTGAAAATGTAAACAGTGGTTTAGGTTGAGTTAAGTCTCCAATGACTTTGTTTGGGTTTTTTAAAAAAGCATATCCTGTGTTATCCTCTTAATTTTCATTTACTCCAATATGAGGCTCAGTGGATTGCATGGATGTAATGAACATTTAGTCTCCCTAGTTATAAATGGGGGAAGAAAAAAAAGTTCTTGAGGAAATGGTGTGCGGACAGATTTGTTTGCTTTCACTGCCAGCGCTGCTGGCTTTGTCATGGTCCTGGGTCGTTGACCCAGCGTTTTGTGTTTTGTGACTATTTCCCTCTGTTCTAGTTATTCTGTGTCCTCCCCCCTTGTGTCCGGTTCGGGTTCTAGATTTCCTGTTTTACTTTGTAGGTCTGTGTCTCGTTATGCCCATTAAGTTCCAGCTGTGTCCCCTCCTGTGTGCCATTTCCTCATTACCTGGTGTGTGTATTTATAGTTGGTGTCTGCCTGTGCTCCTCGTCGGCTCGTCTGCACTCATCTGTGTATTTCTGCGTATCTCTGCATTCATCTGCGTTCCATGGTGTCCTGTCTCTGCGTCCCTCTGCCCCGCACCCCCTTTGTACGGTCTCAGGTTTGCTATTTAGTTTCTCCCAGTTTAGGTTTCCGTTTGTAAAGTACTCATACCTCGTTGCCTGTTTTTGTCACCGCCACCTTTGTAAATAAAACATCACTCGTATCATCAGTTTGCTGCATCTTGGGTCCTCCTTTTCCTCCACACCACACGGCTCCCTCCGCCAGCCGTGACAGGCTTACTGATTTGCTCTGCAGGAAGAAATGAGCAAATAATAAAACAGGCGATTTAAAAAGAACAGGCTGTGTTTACAGGGTCAAAGGCTGATTGCTGTATGTAGCTGAAGTAAAAAGATGAGAACTGCCTTATTTTTTTAAAATGTTATTTTAGTATTATTTTAAAACTCTTTTATGCAATATCAAAATTAGCGACTTTTGATCAGTTTCCACCATCACAGTGTCTTAAAGCATGTTCAATCATCCAGGTAAGTAACTCCCAAAAGGTTGATTCTGTTCACCTGGTCGTTGCATTTTCAGTGTGAGAAATGTTTCATCACTCATCCAGGTGACTTCTTCAGTTTCAGCGGACTGAAGGTTTCCCCAACCTTATAAACAGTACACGGCACAATGACTGAAACTGATAATTTGCATATTAATGATCAAGGAGCTGACCTCACAGCCCATTGTTCAGTCAGAGGGCTAGTTTCAGTTATTGTGCAAATGTACTGTTTAAAAGGTTAAAAGTAATTAGAAATATCACAAAGCAGAGTAGCCACATGTGATTAAATTTTTTACACCTATTAGTAATGCTGATGAATCTATGCTTCATATGCAGTCAGTTTTAAAATGAGGTTCAAATATGTTTTGCAGCTCCACACAGAACTTGTTGGGCAAAAGTTATTCAATAATTGTTCTTTTGATAGTAACGGTTGTTGACCCCAGGATATGTCTCTACACTCCTTACATGGAATGACACAAAATTTTGTAGACCCTTTATGGCTTATTGTCACATTTGTAATGCCTCTGGCTGAATGTCATGAAGTGTACTTTAGAGGTGATCCCTTTTGCTTCATCTAGGTCAGACTTTTGATCAAAACCGATGAGATTCACATCAAACACGGGCAATGATGTCTTGAGCTTTTCACTGAAGTTAATGCATGTTGCATGCTAACAGTACGTACTCAGAACCCATAGTTCACTTCATAAATCCACTACAGACTCACATGCATAATTTGTGACTCTCCATAGGGTAGTTTTGTCTTAATTCAAACTGCTAATTGTGTCCTTATTGGAAATGATGATAACAACACACTAGCTGCTGCATTTAGCAAACATTTAACACTTGTCAAGCTACTGACCAAACTCGTTAGATATTCAGTGTAGAAGGTTGTGTGCATAAACTTTAAACAGCAGCACTTCAAGCCCTTATAGAAAACTTCTTCTGTCAGTCTTGATGCATAAACATAGTAAACATTATATTGTTTGCGTGGGTTCTCTGCAGGTAGTCTGGCTTCCTCCCACAGTCCAAAGACATGCAGTTAGTGGAGTTCGGTTAATTGGTAACTCTAAAGTTGTGAACGTGAGTGCGAATGGTTGTCTGTCTTTATGTGTTAGCCCTGCGACAGACCAGCAACCTGTCTAGGTGGTACCCTGCCTCTTGCCCTAAGACAGCTGGGATAGGCTCCAGCCCCGCTGCGACCCTCAAAAGGATAAGAATGGAAGAGAATGGATGGATGAATCTGTAAGCACTGTCATTTTGTGCTAAGCACTTCAGTTAAAGCATTGCACTGTCATTTGTCTAAAATTTCATAAAAGTATGCCCTGTGAAGCTTGACTCACTAAATAACTGTCAGAAAAAAAAATCATACTGGAGTGTTTATTGAACCTTCTGACAAAAAAGAAAGAAATGAGATATCAGTTTGCATATGTGACTTTTAATTTCAGTATCAGTTTTACTGCATCTGGCGTTTGTGCAATCTATTGCCCAAAAATGTAATGTGCAATTAATTTTAAGTTTTGTTGATGATGATTTAGAGGTCTCAAAACACTGACATAAACTCCTGTATCAAATATAATATGTTTGGCATTAGAGTTAAGGAACTTGGGAAAACAGATGTGCACTTATGAACCTGATTAAACTGATCAAACAATAGGCATGTATGTGAAGACAAGCTGAACTTAAGTTGCTGATGATGCATTTGCACAGTGTCAACCAGAGTCATGCATGCATTAACAGCTCTGTTTTGTGAATGTGTGTATTCTCCAGGGCTTCATGAAAATGAGGACATACGCGTGATGATGGCAGGTTCCAGCATGCTGAAAGTTCGGTCTACAAGTTGGCAAAGGAACCGAAGCATGCGGCTGCTGGAGGACGGACTCACCGTGTGGTGCGAGTCCAAGAGCTCCCGCAAAGGCAAAGCCCAGCAGACATGTAAGTTTGTCTGAAATCCAGCTTTATGGTCAGAGTACTCTGTAAGGAGAGCTCAGTGTGTGGCGGGGTGGGGGGCTGGCTTGAGCAGACATCATGACCTAATGAAGAGGAGAAGTGGGGTAGTTATGAATAGGAGTTGAGGAGGAAAAGGAGCTTTGATTGTGAGCATGAGTGAACTAATACGATAAATAGAAAGGAAACTTAAGTAATGGAAGAGTGTACGTGAGAACAGCGCAAACTGAATTATATTTAAAGCAAGCAATGTAAGCGTCCCGCCATTAGTCCAATAGAAACTGAGATGTGATTCAGTGCGCTCATTCAGCCTGCACATTGTTTGGGGTTGTTGAGCTGCTTTATCTTGGCTCTGTCTTCTGCCCTCTCCCCTACTTTGCCCATTTAAAGACGGTTCTAGTTTCTCTGGTAACTGAGGAGGGTAATCATGTGATCTGTAGTGGTTATGACTTACCAATTCAAGCTTCCTAATATACATTTAATAGTCTTACTGACACTTAGACCTCCGACAGAAATGGGCATGAGCTCTTTGATGGGATCAGTTTATAATTTACCAGCGCATAAAACTGGATTTAGCTTCTGAGACTGAAAAGTAAAGCCAGTGCAGAAATTTCTTAAATGTGCATTTATTCCTTTAGTTTCAGAAAGCATTAAGATTATTTGAAAGTCCTCAATAGAACATTATGGTATCAGTAGCCTAATTTAAGTATTTTTTTAACAGAAAAAGCATGGTATGCTTCAGGGTGTGACTAACTTGTGATAGGCCCTTTAAATATCACTCCAGTGATTGTTTGACATGTGGAAGGAGAGTGTAGCTGCTCTCTAGAAAGTCAACACAGAGGAAACATGCCTGTAGGTTACCCTGGTTGAGAGTGGTAGGTCGAGATTCCCCCATGTTTGAATGTTTCACCTTGAAAAACAAACGTCAAGCTAATGATCAATGTCCAAGTTTAATTGAATTGAGTGTTTTCTGTTATAGCGGGTAAACAAAACTGATATTACATAGAATCCTATAGACTCAACTCCCACTTATGCAAGTTTGGGCCTGTTATCACTCTTTGCACAAACTCCTTAAGGTTATGTACAAAAGGTGAAAAACAAGATAAGTTATAGTTGGAGGTTTGCAAGTTGCTTAAGGGTAAAATTAAACTGCAAAAGCAGATGAGATTGTTTTGGGGTTTTTTTTTGCTGTTAATATTTATTTTCAATTCTTTTAGCGATCGGACCTCCTTGAGTACCTAAAGCATCTTTTGCAAAGCACCATTTTCAGTAATAAAATAGTGGGGAAGAAGTTAGTAGACTTTATACTTAATTTCACAGCTCATCCATTATATTATGTAATGTTATTATAATGCCTTGCTTTTCAGCCCACTGTTTTAAACAACTAGTCATGTAGTAACTATATTAGGATGTTGTGCCAAAGCACACAGGGGAAAGATAGTAATGTCTTTTATCTAGTTATTCAGGGAATCAATTCATGGATGTCAGCGCAGTATGTAGGACACAAATCTTGTTCAGAGCGCAACTCTTCTGTCATGGCATCAGAGGGTTGGACTGATGGCCTAAATTACCGAAGCACAATTCCTGGAAGAGTTAATGAAAGTAAAAGAGCAAAAGAGACTTCGCAGCAGCATCTGTTCAGTCTCCCATTCCATTTAGGTCTTTGTAGCTAATTCTTTCTGTTGAAATGAAAATTTACTTCAAGGTGGAAAGCTTTGAGCACGTAATATGAGATCAGCTTTGTTTTCTCCCTTGTTGCCTGACCTTTGGCTCTCCCACCTCTGTGCTGTTTGTGATCTCCACCCTTATGTTAGAATGCAGTTTAATCCTAACCCTTGCCGCTTGTCTCACAGCGTGTGTGGTTGGGCAGGTTTGTGGGTCAGTGGGTGTGAAGGCCGTTTTGATTGTGCCAGCCATGCCGCAAATAGACACAGAGCGGCCGAGCTGCAGCGTGTAACACTCCATAGAATGATGACATCAAGCAGCGTGAGAACAGAGTGACCACTTAAGACACTGGCAGGCTGCTGAGGACCAAATCTCTGTACGGGATAAAGGTCTGGCTCTCTTCCCTCTTTCTAGTCTCCCAGGTCTGATTTGATCTAATGTCTGAAGTTCAGGGTTGCGTGTGATCCTGGCGTAATATACACCACCTAAAACTTCACACTACACATAGGCACACACCCACATGTATATGTTACTTTTACCATGGCTCCGAGATGACCACAAAGGAAGAATGCGGAGTAATTTCGAAGAGGTGGATTGCAGAGGCTTTTATGACCTCTAGCAAGAGAATGAGGTTATTGTCAGAGAATACTTATTGCCCAGCAGGCATCTCAGTGCAGAAGCAGAAGAGCTCCTGTGCTGAATAAAGTTCTAGTGTTAGAATAAACTAGGAGACACTGTGTGTTAGTGTCAGCCTGTTTCCTCCCCTTGTTTATAGTTGTAAATCTGAGGTTTTTTCCCGGGCCAAAAATGAAGACTTGCAGTGCAGTGCACTTATGCTCTTTAGGATGTTGAATTGTTGAGATTCAAAATGTAAAAATGCATATGCATATTTTGGGGAAAAAAACGCCTTTCCCCTTTTTGAGCTGGAAAAAATAAAAACAAATAACGTAAATCCTATATTTCCTTACTAAAGTACAAAGAGCATATAAAATGTTAAAACTTACAATGCTTATGAATTTTTAAGTTTTGAAGCCAACCCCTTGTGAATATGGGAGTTTCTTCTTCTTCTTCTTCTTCTTCTTCTACTTCTTCTACTTCTACTATTTCTTCTACTTCTTCTTCTTCTTCTACTTCTTCTTTGGAATGTCAAAAGCTTTTAATGACTCACTGGTCTGAACTGTGGACAGACTGGATTCACAACCGGCTTAACAGAGTGATGTTGTGCAGAATGCAGAACATGTTTGCTACCGTCATGCTAAAATAAAAAAGACCTCGTTGCTGGTTATTTATATTCTTTTTAGGTGTGGTCCTTTGGGTGCAGATATGTTTTGGGGCTGTCTTAATATTATGATGATGTGATGTACCGTACATCCAGCTGCTCCTTTATTTCCCACACCCCTCCCATTTATCCCAGGTTGGAGCTGGCAATAGGACACTACTTTTGACCCCTGGTGGTTGGGTTTTGTGTTTCCTCCTGATTGTGAACATGTAGGGCAAATGTGCTATTTGCTGTGCTACGGAAAATGTATTTACGGTAATTGAGAAATCCCTTAATTATTTTTTACTTTTAGATTAAGGAAATAGCCCATTTGAACTTTGCTGAATATAATAATTTTCTTGGTAATTCTTAGTCAGGCAGGTGGAGAGCCACTGCAGGTGGCATCCACACAACCTTTTGAAAAATAATAATAAATAAATAAAACTTTGAATAAATAGGTTTTAATTTTATAGGGAGGGGGGGGGCACAAGACAAGATTTCATATATATTTTGCACTATATTTTATCTGATACTGAATGGCCTCTAGCAGCACAGTTAGATTTCTTTTTTTCATGTCTCATACTTTAAATGAAGCCTGATTCTCAAGCTGTCAGTACAGGAACCTCACACTGAAGGTCTAAGTCATTACTCTCATGTCATTTTTTGTTTTTTTTGTTTTAAAATTAGTCTGCTGACGAACATGTGTGGATATAATATGTTTCGCAGTCTCATTAATGTGTCACTCGCATTCTCTAAAAACGCCTCACACTTGACCTTTAGCTGCTTCTTGTGCAACCATGGTCTCCTGCTGAAGCAGTTTACTCATCGATATTATCGCTCCTGTCCCAGTTGCAGTGACGGAGGTGGAGTGTGTGTGTGAAGGCTACCAGTCGGAGGCACTGAGGCGGCTGTCTGGAACCCTACCAGAGAACCAGTGCTTCACAGTGGTCTTCAAAGGAGCCAGGAAGAGCCTGGACCTGAAGTGCCCCACTGCAGAGGAAGCTCAGCACTGGGTGCGAGGTCTCCGCATGTTAAAGGAGCGAGTGGCCAGAATGAGTCAGAAGGAAAAACTGGACCAATATCCTGCCCAATTTCCAATATGCTAGAATAAATATAGCGTAGCTGAGGCAGCATTGCTATGGTGACTGACTCTGCTGTCACATGTACCGTCCTACGTACACAGCATAGCTAAGGTGAGAGGTAATTGCTCGACAAAAAAGCCCTGTCTAAATATAGGCCTGCTATCACTCTTAATTATAATCTCTCATAGCCAGAGGAAAATAGCAGTGTAGTGTTCAGGTAGAGTATAAGATCTTCCCCGTTGCTCTGTTTGTTTCTCATTTTGTTTTCATTGTGAAATAAAACTCATGTCAAGTGCAGCAAGTGCTTTTCACTTAATGTGGCTGTGCAAGGACACCATAAACTGTCAACAGGTTAAAAATTGACATTGAATTGTAAATGGCTTTTGCTTTAATGGTCCAACACAATGTGAAAAGCACTAAATGCATAAAGATGAGTCAGTTGCTGATAGTTATCGTGTCAAAAGGCTATAGCATTATCAGTCTGGAAAAACACTAAGAGACAATTCCAGTATCTGTTTTGGAAGATGATGCTTTACTTGACTCAGTTTCAAATCAAATTCATGTACCAAATATGCATTTTGTCCTTTAATTCTTGCTAGAAAGGGTGAGTATGAAAAGGAAAAATACAGACCCTTTCAATAACAGCAGGATAGAATAAAAAAGAGATCAAATATAAGAAAAAGGAGGTTTAGCAAAAATAACCTCCCTTGGGAAAAGAGCAGGTATTAAGTGGATTTATAACAAATAAAACCCAGTAACATCCCATATAAAAGTACCGTCTTAACAGTTTGACTCTATGCTTTAGTCTTGCTTGATTTCTTAACTCCCTACACTTGGATTCGGGGGTACCTCAAGCGAGCAGATCAGAACAACGACGGCAAGATGAGCTACGATGAGGTCAAACGGCTGCTGCTGATGATCAACATTGACGTGAGCGAGCAATATGCCCGCTGCTTATTCAAGGTCAGAGTCATGTGATGTTTTAGTACCTGTATGCTCATTAAACTGCAGCACTGAGTGTAAAGAAGTGAGGGAATTACAGAGCTGTAGAGTTGTTGCTATCTGGTTAAGGAGGTGTCATTTTACTCGGACACCCTGGAGTCCAGAGTCTGTGTTCAATTACCAACCCCAGCAGCAAGCCAACCACCAGCCTCACTCCACATCTTTACCCCCTCCCTCTTATCTTCCCCACAACAAATCACGAGCCATTTATTTCTCTTTTGTGCAGGGATTACTACCTGCTATGTCCCTCACTTCACTATTATGGCAGAATTGTTAGTGTTATTCTTCTTCTCTGTGCAGCTTACAGTGCAAAGAAGCATGTTTTCAACGTAGGTGCGCACAGCTGCGTTGAATTATTATAGAGGTGCTTTTCCCACAGGGAGTTTGATGCACTCCCAAAATAAAAGTGAACAGCCTTTGATATTGTCTATTTTCTTCTCTGTGTGTTCACTTTCTTGGCTCTTTTTAACACACACCTTTTCTGTGCATCTCAGCGGTGTGACCAATCTGGCGATGGCCGCCTGGATCACACAGAAATTGAAGAGTTCTGCAGGGAGCTGCTGCGACGGCCTGAGCTAGATGCCGTGTTTAGACACTATTCAAGTAAAGGTAGCGTGCTCTCCACTGCTGAGCTGCGTGATTTCCTGGGAGATCAAGGGGAGGACGCGTCGCTGGATCATGCTCGAAGTCTTATACTCACCTATGAGCTCAATGACCGGGGTAAGTTGTAAAAGCAGTCATTAAAGGACTCAAAGGAGGAACCCAAAATATTTATATATAAATACATTCTGAATGTGACTTTTGATGCCGTCTCCATACAAAAGAAATAGCGATTTAGCCTATCACCATAAAATCTGAGGCACAATCCTGCTGCTGTGCAAAAAAAGCAATCCAGCAGTGAGAGCTCGTTGTTTTAAGAAAGAAAAGTTGTGCTTTGCTTCGCTTTTCTTATCACTGAGTTATTATAATTCAGCCATAATGACAGTACTGATTATACTGTATGTGCACTCACTAACCATTTTATTAGGGATGCCTTCTTAGTACCTGTTTCGGCCTCCTTCTATGTAGCATTGATTCAAGAATGTTCAGGAAACAATCCTCATTTTTGGTCATGATGACATTCCTGCAGATCTGTCAGCTGCACATCCAAAATAGAAATCTCTCCTTCCACCACATCCTAAAGGTGCTCTTTCCGTGACTTTGAGAGTGAACTCATTGTCATGCTCAAGAAACAGTCTGACATGATCTGAGATTTGTGACATAAAGGGGCATAAAGGGATAGAAGTATTGTGTTTGAGAGAAACATATTACGGAAAAAAAGCTATTTATTTATTTTAATCTTCTGTCCCTCACAATGGACATGGGGTCATGTTTAATTACAGAATGAATGATATTGGTTCCATTTCTGGAAAAAAAAAAAGAAGGAAACAAATCTGAGCATTAAAACATCATTTTAACATGTAACCTATCAACATCACGCTTTTTATTAAACTTCATTGTGTACACCTAATACTTACCTCAACCGGGCTTTTTAGGTCTCATCACCCAAAGCATTAATAGTGATCAGGAATGGTATGACAGAGAGGCTCCTTGCATGAGTTCCTTAGATTGCATTATATATATCTATTAAAATATAGATTTAGTGTGCATATAACTCTACACTCTAAAAAAGCCTTGTAAACCTTGTATGTTTATAAGAGGTCTACATGAAACGGTACATTTGGAGCCTAGGTTATGAGTTGTGCCTGTTTGTAATTTGTTTATCTGTCTCTGGTTTGTGCACACCAACATTGGATTTCTTTTTTTCCTATAACCTAGTTATCTATTTTCAGAGGCCCACCTGTTTGGTGGTTGTGGCCAGTGTTGTCCTGTTTACATGTCTCATGCTAAAAACCAACTTCAGCCTAATTTTGGTGTCATTTAAACTGAGTTGAACTAATTGTTAAATACAGGAAAAGTAAAGCTGAATGCATTTCTACCATATTATATATCATTAATTATGTAAATCAACAGGATAAAAGAAGAAATCAAACTTTAAGCAACTTTAGGCCTGATTCTCTTTCCACAATTTTGAGCTTTTTTTCCCTCCATCTGTCTTCTGCTATCTAAATGATGGACATGAAAACGTGAGGTAGTAAGTTCTGCTGTCCACTGTAAAGGACACTGAATAAGTTTTGAACATGAAAACAGTAAAATTACTAAACATATCAGAGTTGATACTCTTAAACTGAGGAAACCTTTTAATTTTCTTTTAGCAATAATGTCATAACATCTGTTTAAAAAAATCAAAATTATCCCAGCTGTCATTTGGGAAAAGGCAGACTACACCCTGGATTGGTCAGTACAACTAATTCCCTTGACAATAATTACTGTAAACAAGAAATAATATTAACCACAAGAAGAATGTAGTTATGACTCAACTGTATGACAGAATTTAGTTTCAAATTAAGACAAGAAATTATTCCTTAGATTGGATATATATATTTAATAGAATATAACTTTTTATAAACCTCTTATGTTATTGGGGTGCGACCGTGGCTCAGGGGTTTGGGAGGCATATCTGTAACCGGAAGATCGCCGGTTCGATCCCTGGGCTCTCTGTCCTGGTCGTTGTGTCCTTGGGCAAGACACTTTACCCTACCGCCTACTGGCCAGAGGAGCCGATGGCGCGATATGGCAGCCTCGCTTCTGTCAGTCTTCCCCAGGGTAGCTGTGGCTACAACCATAGCTTGCCTCCACCAGTGTGTGAATGCGCAAATGAATGAATAGTGGTATTGTAAAGCGCTTTGGGTGCCTTGAAAAGCGCTATATAAATCCAATCCATTATTATTATTATGTTCATGAGAGGTCTCAATAAAAAAAAAAAAAAGTACATTTGCAGCCTAGGTTATCTGAGTTGTGCCGGTTTGTGATTTGTTTATCTGTCTCTGGTTTGTGCACACCAACATTGTTTTTTTTGTTTTTTTTTTCTAAAACTTGGTTATCTATTTTCAGAGGCCCACCTGTTTGGTGGTTGTGACCAGTGTTGTCCTGTTTTAATGTTGCATGCTAAAAACCAACTGCAACCTAATTTTGGTGTCAATTAAACTGAATTGAATTCAACTGATTGTTAAAGACAGGAAAAGTTAAGTTTGATGCACTTATATCATAATATATATTATTAATTATGTAAATTAACAGCATAAAAGAAGAAATAATACTTCTGGCAACTCTAGGTCTGATTCCCTTTCCACAGTTTTGAGCTTTCTTCCTCATGCTGTCCTCTGCTTCCTAAATGATATACATAGGCTGATATGTTATGCCATTTCACGTCTTCCATGTATCCCTGCTTTCTTTTTACTTGTTTAAAGCCCTTCGTTATCCTGTTAAATCCACTTAAAGATTACAAATTGATGGAAATAAAATACCATTTATTACAGCTCAGAAGAACCTGCTCATGACACAAAATGGTTTCACCATGTACATGCTGTCTCTGGAGAATGATGTCTTCAACCCTAACCATGCCAGAGTTTACCAGGACATGACCCACCCCCTGGCCCATTACTTCATCTCCTCGTCACACAACACTTACCTTACCAAGGACCAAGTCACCGGTGCGAGCAGCACTGAGCCGTACATGAGGTATTGAGACAGAGAAGAATGCAACATTGGCCCTCAGTCAGTCTAGTGAGATATGTGCCTGTGGTTTCAAATGAATAAATCTGTCACTGTCAGGGCTCTAATTCAGGGCTGCCGCTGTGTGGAGCTAGACTGCTGGGATGGAGATAAAGGTGAACCCGTCATCTACCACGGGCACACACTCACCTCCAAAGTGCCCTTTAAGGAAGTCATTGAAACCATCGGTCAGTATGCCTTCAAGGTAAGAGATTTTGTAGCTTTCACTCATGGAAATATGCAGTTATGCGTTGTGCTTACAGCTGTGCCAACCCACTGCACTTCTTTTGGTTATACACCTGACTCTGAGGCAATCCTGTGGTATTTTGTATAGTATTATACTCTTGGGTTTTGCATTGCTATAATGTGATCTAATTGCATTTTAACGGCTTAGCATAAGAGTTTTCCTGTGTTTCTCCCTGCAGACGTCCCCATACCCTCTAATCCTGTCCTTGGAGAATCACTGTTCTGTGGAGCAGCAGGCTGTCATGGACAAACACCTCCGTAGTATCCTGGGCAAAAAACTGCTCACAGAGCCTCTCAGTGACCAGGCACTGAGAGACCTGCCTTCTCCCGAAGTACAACAACCACACACATAGAAGCACAGCTGGACCCATTTGCCTTTCTAATAAAGTAATTTATTCCAATGGAATTCCTTGCAGGAGCTTAAGGGGCGCATTTTGGTAAAAGGAAAGAAACACACTCCTCACCTGGGTGAGCTGGTGAAGAACAGCAGCTGCACCAGCTTCTCTTCGAGCTCTGAAGATGAACTAGCCAGCAGCATTAAGAGCACACCCATGAAGGATCCTGCAAAGGTCAGTTCAAGAAAGGCTTGTTATTGAGTCGTGGAAGCTGTTAACACAAACGCTTTAGTTAATTGACCAATTTTCTTTGCATTGCCTTTTCCAGGTCCGTTCGAAACTGTGCCCCGAGCTATCCGACCTGGTGGTTTACTGCAAGAGTGTCCCCTTCCGTGGGTTTGGAAATGTGTCTGAAAAACCGCCAAATGAAATGTCTTCTTTCTCTGAAAACGATGCCCTCAAGCACATCAAAGAGTCTGGTACAATAGTGGAGATAATTGCATCTTGACATCAGATAGAGAAATTCAAAAAGTTTGCCAGCATCGTGTCTTTTGTGCAGCTGGTTCAGCTGGTTCTACAGAAATTATAATTAGCCCTCAACGTATCATGGCTTGTGGATTTCTGTCTTTTTATTTACAGGGAAGCTTTTTGTAAGACACAACAGCAGGCAGCTGAGCCGGATCTACCCTTGTGGCCAGCGCCTTCAATCATCCAACTATGATCCTCAGGAAATGTGGAACTGTGGATGCCAGCTGGGTTGGTACTCCACACTGAAAGCTACGCTTTTTAAAAACCCAGAGACGTGTTTTATTTCTGTAAACTTACTGTCATGTCACATGTAACCTGCTGACATCTCTGATTCCGTTAATTTAATCCCGTGTCCCTCCACTTTCCTCTTTCTGCCGTTAAGTGGCTCTAAACTTCCAGACGGCTGGGGAGCAAATGGACCTGAACCAGGGCCGCTTCCTCGCAAATGGTCACTGTGGATACGTCCTCAAACCCAGCTTCCTGTGCAGCCCCACATCCAACTTTAACCCAGAAAACACGGGAGGAGGCCCCGGTCATACCCCGACTCAGCTGACTATACGAGTGAGTAACTGTTACTAAGTTAAGGGAAATGAACATTATAGATAGATAGATAGATAGATAGATAGATAGATAGATAGATAGATAGATAGATAGATAGATAGATAGATAGATAGATACACAAAAATCCAAAGAATTTAAATTCATCATGAATATTTTTTTAAAGCATATAGATTTTAATAACCACAATATATGTGATGAAGTTTTTCCAAAGTTTCGTTCAGATGTGCCTACCTGTTAAGGAGGAGATAGACGTTATAGTAAGATTTCTGTACCGCTGTTCTAAACTTAACATAAAAAGTAAGGAAATTAGTGTTTGGTTGATTATTTCTTTGTGGTAACAATACTTCTTGGTAATAAATCTTATATACCACTGGAAGGATACCACATTTGTAAGGAAAATGCATTTGTGGGTTGAGCAGTAGTGTTGAGAATGTGGGTTGCACTCATGAAAAACTTGCCAAATCTTCTCTGCCAACGCCAAACAGCTTATTCTGCTAATAACTCTTGTTTGGTGTTATTTGTTGGATTGGATAATTGAATTATGAAGAAACAAGACATATTGGTAGTTTAACAGCAGTAAATGCTGGTTGAAAAATGTCATCCCATCCCACAGCAGTGTGCGACCAAGCTGGTCACCAACATGAGGAGTTAGAGACAAATAAAGAGACTTTCCAACGGTATACAGGGAGTGCAGAATTATTAGGCAAGTTGTATTTTTGAGGAATAATGTTATTATTGAACAACAACCATGTTCTCAATGAACCCAAAAAACTCATTAATATCAAAGCTGAATGTTTTTGGAAGTAGTTTTTAGTTTTAGCCATTTTAGGGGGATATCTGTGTGTGCAGGTGACTATTACTGTGCATAATTATTAGGCAACTTAACAAAAAACAAATATATACCCATTTCAATTATTTATTTTTACCAGTGACACCAATATAACATCTCCACATTCACAAATATACATTTCTGACATTCAAAAACAAAACAAAAACAAATCAGCGACCAATATAGCCACCTTTCTTTGCAAGGACACTCAAAAGCCTGCCATCCATGGATTCTGTCAGTGTTTTGATCTGTTCACCATCAACATTGCGTGCAGCAGCAACCACAGCCTCCCAGACACTGTTCAGAGAGGTGTACTGTTTTCCCTCCTTGTAAATCTCACATTTGATGATGGACCACAGGTTCTCAATGGAGTTCAGATCAGGTGAACAAGGAGGCCATGTCATTAGTTTTTCTTCTTTTATACCCTTTCTTGCCAGCCACGCTGTGGAGTACTTGGACGCGTGTGATGGAGCATTGTCCTGCATGAAAATCATGTTTTTCTTGAAGGATGCAGACTTCTCCCTGTACCACTGCTTGAAGAAGGTGTCTTCCAGAAACTGGCAGTAGGACTGGGAGTTGAGCTTGACTCCATCCTCAACCCGAAAAGGCCCCACAAGCTCATCTTTGATGATACCAGCCCAAACCAGTACTCCACCTCCACCTTGCTGGCGTCTGAGTCGGACTGGAGCTCTCTGCCCTTTACCAATCCAGCCACGGGCCCATCCATCTGGCCCATCAAGACTCACTCTCATTTCATCAGTCCATAAAACCTTAGAAAAACCAGTCTTGAGATATTTCTTGGCCCAGTCTTGACGTTTCAGCTTGTGTGTCTTGTTCAGTGGTGGTCGTCTTTCAGCCTTTCTTACCTTGGCCATGTCTCTGAGTATTGCACACCTTGTGCTTTTGGGCACTCCAGTGATGTTGCAGCTCTGAAATATGGCCAAACTGGTGGCAAGTGGCATCTTGGCAGCTGCACGCTTGACTTTTCTCAGTTCATGGGCAGTTATTTTGCAACTTGGTTTTTCCACACGCTTCTTGCGACCCTGTTGACTATTTTGAATGAAACGCTTGATTGTTCGATGATCACGCTTCAGAAGCTTTGCAATTTTGAGACTGCTGCATCCCTCTGCAAGATATCTCACTATTTTTGACTTTTCTGAGCCTGTCAAGTCCTTCTTTTGACCCATTTTGCCAAAGGAAAGGAAGTTGCCTAATAATTATGCACACCTGATATAGGGTGTTGATGTCATTAGACCACACCCCTTCTCATTACAGAGTTGCACATCACCTAATATGCTTAATTGGTAGTAGGCTTTCGAGCCTATACAGCTTGGAGTAAGACAACATGCATGAAGAGGATGATGTGGACAAAATACTCATTTGCCTAATAATTCTGCACTCCCTGTAGGATTTATTGCTAAGAAGTATTGTTAGAAGAAAAAGGAAGTTTCCTTCCTTTTTGTGGCAAGTTTATTTTTCATAGTGTCATTTAGTTCTTGTTATTACTGTCCATACTTCAATTTTTTTCATAGAGGAGAGGCCATCCTCTGTTGTTCCTCTGGAAGAGTTCCCTTATGTCTAAACTAGAGTCTAAACATAGAGCTATTGTGTGCTATCCAGATTGTCAGATTTTGCAAAAAAGTTGCCTCCAATAGACTTTTTTTTTATACATTTCTAATGATAATTTCATGCACACAATGATGAATTATGTTTTGCTTTTTCAGATAATATCTGCACAACAGCTGCCAAAAATCAACACAGAGAAGGCGAGCTCCATTGTGGACCCACTAGTGTGGGTGGAAATTCATGGGGTGGCTATTGATAAAGCAAAACAAAAAACCCACCGCATTGACAACAATGGTAATATTTATTTATTTATTTATTTATCCACAACAATAAAATTTTAAAAATACATTTTTATATGTATTTTTTTTTTTGCAGAGTGATAATATATATGTTATCTATGTATATTTAAATTCAATGCAGGCATTTCTGTAAATCAGTGTTACTTTTATAATGCAGTGACAGGAGACAAGAGATGATGTCAGAAAGCTTCTTTGTACCTTATTCAAATCTTGGAATATATACTTGTGTAGGAGTCTTTTCAATCCAATGCCATGATTAGTTTGTTTGAACGGTTTAATGCACCAGATGGTGTATTTACAGCTCTTGTGCGCCCTCTGCAGGTTTCAACCCTCGCTGGGACTGTACTCTGAGCTTCCAGCTGCAGGTCCCTGAGCTGGCCCTGGTGCGGTTTGTAGTGGAGGACCACGATCATGCTGCCAAAAATGACTTTGTGGGGCAGTTCACTTTACCTTTTACAAGCTTTCGCATAGGTGCTTATTAAGATTTAGTCTACAAGTCAGTCTTCACTCTCAGATGTTCTTTTTAATATGTGTCATACTCTTTTTTTTTTTGTTTCTTCTCCCCACCCAGGTTATCGACATATTCACTTACTGAAGGCAGATGGTTCTAGCCTTTCTCCTGCTACACTCTTTATCCATGTCAAAGTGACTCGCAGAGGTGTTCCTGTCAAAACTATGGCTGAGCGTATTGCCGCTGCCAAAGGCAAAGCGTGACACACATCTGAACAAGACAATCAGATATCTGGACAATGAAGGACCTTGGAAGGAGGAGCTCCGAGTGTAAACAGACAGAGACAGAATGCTGCCGTTGTCTTACAGTTCAGACCCCAAGTGGTCCAGTTTGCACAAAACCACTTCCCAGTGCTTGAAGAAAGGTGTCTGTCAGAGATGGACACATGCCCTCTGGTGACTGTAATTCATAACAAAAAAATGTAGAAAAAGGGACTGTTAGAGAGAATGAAGATCATTTATTTTATGTCATCATTTTATTTTTTAACATGTTTTTTTAACTTGAAGAATAATGATCGCTTAAGTAAAATAGCACTTCTTAAATTGATGCTATAACAGAATTGCAATGAGATGTAAACCAAGTGTAACTAACTGTGTTTGACAATATACATAAACATCAGTGTTTTAGATGTTATTATTGGCACCATTAACTGTGCTGTAATACAGATTTAATTTTGTGTTAGTGAGTGCCCCAGGGCGCCATGGCCCATGCTGCCCAGGTACAAGTACTTGATACTCCAGATATCTGGGCACTTTTTTAAATTCTGTCTGGAAGACAAATTCTAACATATTCTTACATCTTCCAGCAGAACATGACAGACTTAACTTGCAAAGATAAGCTTTTTTCTTAAATGTGTTGTATTTTATCTTAGCATCATTTCACATATGTTCAAATGTGCTTGTTTAAAATCATATTTGACTTTTAACGATACAGTATTTCCATATAAGCTTCTTTCATTTTGTCAACTTTTGTCTTCGTATTCAGATCTAGAAAAAAATGCTGTTAAAAACTAATTGCATCAATCTAATACAACCACTAATTACTCCAGGATACAGTGAATCTTTTAATACTCTTATAAGGAGGTTCACTGATAATAAAATGGTCCAGCGATGAAAAGTAATTACTGTAATTACAGTTTTAATGGTCACGCTGGTTTTTGAGAAGAATGTAATATGTATTTAATAGTGGGTGAAGTAAAACTTTGCTCTCTTAATGTTTAATATAGAAGCTGTGGGATGCGTTTGAGTGGTTATGTTTGCAAGAAAAATGTTTTTATAAAGCACTTCTAACAATTTTTTTCACATGCTGTCAAAAGATACAAGTGTCTGTTTTAGTTTCAAAAGTCCACAGTGTTGTGTGTGGACACCTGACACTTTAATAAATGCATAACCAGAAGGTTCTAATCTGTGAATTTTTGTCTGACTTTTCTGTGGTACTCTAAAGCTGTCAGCCTAAAACATGATAAATCTTTATATTCCAACATTAGAACTATCAATGGATATGTCCCTGCCTGATTAGGCCAAAAGTAAAGACAAAAAAATGAAAACTCTTAGCAATATTTATGAAATTTCACATTACACAGCATGGCAGCAATTTCTCCAACAACTGGACTTCTTTTGTTTCCGAGCATCTCCGTGAATTATGAGTTAATCCACCCACTGAATATTTTGTGGTAAACTTAATTAAATACAAAAACACACACACAGTGGGTTGTGAATGTCAGTCAGCAACACCACAATGACAGAAAAATGAGGTCAGTATTAGTAGTTTTCCCCCTTCAAGAAATATGTTGCTAAAAAGTCTAAAATTAACGCTAAAATCATCACAGATATGTTTTTAACATCAGCAGAAATGGTTCAAAAATACACCTCAAATATATTAATATAGTCCCTGTTGATATTTAGGTCAAAATGTTGCATTGCTAACAAAAAGTAATCACACACGGCTCTCTGAAATAATCATTAGCAAATATAATCATGTTATCGTCTCATATGACTGCCACGATTTCTTATACTGTGTATGTTGCAACTCTGTGGGTATTTTGTCCAACTGTTGTTGCCGTAGCTGTAGCTCCATTGCTGTAGTAATTATTGTTAAACACCGTGTCACTACTTTTAATGTATTCATGCAAAACGTCAATAGAAGAATATCCTGTTAGCTTACTTTATGCAAAAACTGGGTTCTTTAATGCTCCTATCAGGGTTTATTTATTATGAAAATAGATTAGATGTGGGCCTAAAAGGTTTTGGCTGCTTTGGAGGCGCTAATCACTACGCAGACTACGTAAAAGAACAGCTAATGTACATTTTTACCTAACTGTTAGTGCATTTTAACTGACTTTCAAATAAGAAATATCAACGCCACAATGCTTAATCTACTCAGATGGTCTCATTAAATAATCCACCTAAATCTGAACATGACTTTGCCTTCTTACTCACCCTGCTGTAATATTAATTTATTAGGCCTCAGATTATCTTGCAAGATTCACCATTTTACACGTGTTTCCACTCCAGTGATTTCATTTGCCTTTGGGTTGTATGGGCGCCACATGGCTGTTTGTCTTTAGAGGGAAAATATATTAAATACACAAAAAAACTATTTTTACTGGGGCTGTGAGAACTTAAAAATGGACGCTTTAAAACGACAAACCGTGCCCGCTCCATTACGAGCCTTCTGTTTATCGTAAATATTTGGAAATGATCGGGTAAAAATACACGACCATGGCTACGCCTCCACTGCACGTTTCAGCCAATAGCGTCGAGACTCTTTTAAAGGTGTCAAGGGGCACGCGGTGGAGTCTCACTTCCTGGTTGAAGATGGCGGATGAGAATGAGACAGCACCGATGCCGGAGAAAGAAGATGTAGAGGATCACGCACACTGCAGCGACTGTGAAAATGAAGAGCACCACTTTGACGATGGGTAAGGAGGCAGGCTTACTCGGTCGGTGGCGTAAAATACGTCACGGCTCTGGAGATTTTAACAAAATTAACTTAAACTAAACCTCGGTGAGCAGTCGGGATAGACGGCCATCCTTCGACGTTGTCCAGCCCATTTTCTTTCATCCTATTGGTTAGTAGCAACGTTCGCTTGCTTGTTCTTTCATCCGATTGGCTGAGAAGGATGTCTTTTCCAAATATAGGCTGGACTTAGCGTTTTCCTAAGTATATGGTTAGAAAGGAGAAAGCAAAGTGCGTTTAGAAGCCAATTTTACACCAAGACGCATGTTTCTGTTACTCATAAAACTTGCAGAAAAAATAAACTTTTAACTAAATTGATAGTTTCCGGTGTTCTTCGCATGCCGTTGCTGTGTTGACGGTAAATGATGCAAATCACGTTTGCGCCAGCTGACATGTAGCGTATTAGCTTGCATGCTAGCGTACCTGGCATTGTCTGTGTGTGTGTGGATTCGGTGCAAGATCAAAAGTGAAACAAGCACAAACGTGCATGCAAAAAGCAGTCAGCTTAAACATAATATACCTGGGCCCCGGCGTTGTGAAGTGAGGGCTTTGAATTCCCTCTTTAGTCACATAATTGTTCACGATCTTAAAGCAGCCTAGCTCGGTTGCTCTTACTCAGTACAAGCTTTGATAGAAACCCTGTTTTTTTTTTTTGTTTTTTATTGTATTTTTTTTTTAAAGAGAGAAGTGGTGTCACATATGAAACCGCGTGTCCGCAAAGCAGCTGACCTTTGTTTTTAGTAGAACAAGTGGAATAAGAATGCGTCTCTGTAAGATAGTTTTCGCAAACATCTGATCACTAACTGGAGGAAATCTGACTCCACAGCCACGCGTTTCCGTTTTTAGAGACACAAAGAAGCGAATAAAGATAAAATCTGAGAAATAAATTAACCTAATGTTGCAGAATTCTACCTCAAACCCACGTTGCTGTATGGCTAAAGTAGGGTGACCATATTTTGATTTCCAAAAAAGAGGACTCTTGGCTCAGTCATGAAGGACTTGCTTAAAGAAACATATTTGACATATTTAAAAGATTCCTTCTCTGTGCAGTTAATGGATTGTGAATTGTAAACTATGTCATATAGGCTTTTACAAGTCAACAAGTGCAAAAAAACCTTAAAAGCCCCTGAATTAAATAATGGTACAGAAATAATGCCTCATCTGCATAAGAAAAATTACCAGTACTGGGTCTGTACGAGTGAAATCTCTTTTGCAGTTCGTCTGAAAAGATGCACTTGCGCTTTGGGATCTTTTAAACAGTTGCTGTGCGCTGTCTGTCCCGTCTGTGAGCGCAGAACAACTCAGAAAGCAGCAGTTTGGGGATGATGTCACACACATGGGTCCTCTGTTGGAATATAGGAAAACCCGGCCTTTTATTTTTTTATTTTTTATCAATCTCAAAAATCCCCCCGGACAGAACGTGAAAAGTGGACATGTCCGGGGAAAAGAGGACGGTTGGTCACCCTAGCTAAAGTGAAACATATTCCCCTGCAGGTCTTTGAACCTTCCTGCACTCAGAAACAATTGTTTGGCCCCTTAACTGCTCTACCCTGTTGAAATGGAAAGTGGGAGAACAAACCATTGAATGTTTTGTTGTCCATTGTTCCAGTCACTTGCTGGGCTCTTGTACATACAGTACATAAACACACACGCACAGATACTCTTCTTCTAGATGTCATCTGATTCACCATCTGTGCTGGTGTTTCAAATACAGGCTGCGTACTGGCCTGCATTTCTCCCCTCTTGGACACTAATGAGATTATCCTGTGTAAGTATGTTGCCAGAAGATGAAGTAGCTGGCTGGAGATATGTGGCTTTTCTGGTTGGAGCAGATCAGAAGAGAGGGTTATTCTGAAAATCTGCACTCACTTCTAAACATCCTGCAAACAACTTGGGAATTTCTGTATGTTTTAGCTGAAGGACTGGTTTTATTGTGTTTTTAGCTGCCCTAGAGCTACACCTCGTGTTGTTAGTTTAAACACACAGCTACTCCTCGGCTAACAAGGCTTTGCATCAGCAATGAAATGTAAATTGTGTTGGAAGTGTCGGTGGTTTAATAAGCTTGGGTGTTGTTTAAAAGCAGATCGCAGAAAATAAATTTCCACCATGATTTTCTTTTCTTCTGAGATCAGTCTTAAAAAGGATGCCATCTATTTCTGTCCTGTTCCAGTGAGAGGGGTCTTGGGGACGACACTGGCGCCAAGAAGAAGAAAAGGAAGCAAAAAAAGAAGAAGAAATCTGGTGCCACAGAAGCAGCTCAGGACCCCCTTGCCAAGGCATGAATTTATGCATTTCTGTCTTAATGGGTTATAAACCTAACCTAAAAGGAAAGGAGAAACGGTCCAATTAAGGTGTAAACTACTAAAATCACAGTTTAGATACAGAATGGTTAAAGACTGTTTAGATAGGATCGACTTCTGTTTGTTGTTGTCTTGTTTGATGTATATTTGTGTTTACTTCCCAAACAGGTGAATTCGTTGCCAGCTGATAAGCTACAGGAGATCCAAAAGGCCATTGAACTGTTCTCTGTTGGCCAAGGTCCAGCCAAAACCATGGAGGAGGCCACTCGGAGGAGTTACCAGTTCTGGGACACACAGCCTGTGCCCAAACTAGGTATGGTTACAGATGGCGTAGTTCTGTATTTCATGCCAATATGTAGCTTATAGGTCAAATCTTTAGGGATTGATAAAAGAATGTTTTTGTTGTTGTTTTGGGGTTTTTTTTCTGCATGTGGACAAAAGTGGGCTTACACAGATGGTCAGTTAACACAGAGTGAACAGAAGGGAAAAAGGCTTGTGCTTATGACTCAAGTATGCAAAAGCTCGGTACAACAGCATTATTTTGCAATCTGTTGGTGAAATGTGCCTGGAATTGTGAAAGGAATTGATGATTAGGCATGGTTATGAGGAAGCTGCACATCTATTTCTCTCATTTCAATATACCGCAGATGTGCTCTTTTTGTTTGCAATCTGGTGAATCGGGAGGCCATTTGAGTACACTGATCTCATTTCATGTTCAAGTATCCAGTTTGAGATTACTTGACCTTTATTATATGACATGGTAGCCTACTGGAAACAGCCATCAGAAGATGGGTACACTATGGTCATAAAGGGAATCACACTGTCAGCAACAGTACTCAGGTAGGCTGTGGTGTTTAAATGTTGTTTTATTCTGAGGGGCCCAATGTGACCAAGGAAGCTTTCCCCACACTGTTGCTTCACTGCCAGTATCCTGAGCTGTTGGCAACATAAATCTATGCCGAACTCTGACCCTACCATCCGAATGTCACAGCAGAAATTAGGACTCATCAAACCAGGCAGTATTTTTCCTGTCTTCTGTTCTGCAGTTTTGGTAAGCTGAATTTTAGTCACAGTCTCCTGTTCGTAGCTGACAGGAGTGGCACCCACTGTAGTCTGCTTGAAGGTTTGACTGTTGTGCATTTAGAAATGCTCTGCTGCATAGTTTTGTTGTAACAAGTAGTTAATTGAGGTCCTGGTGCTTTTCTATCAGCTCAAAGGAGTCTGCCTCTATGTTCCTTTGACATCATCAAAGCGTTTTCTCCCAAATAACTCACTGGATATTTTCTGGCCATTCTCTGTAAGTCCTAGAGATGGTTGTGGGGATAATCAGTAGTAGATCAGCAGTTTCTGAAATATTCAGACCAATCCATCCAGCACCAACAACCATGCTACAGTCATAGTCACCTAAATCGCCTTTCCTCCCTATTTTAATGCTTGTTTTGAAATTCAGCAGGACATCTTATCAATGTCTATCTGCCTACATGCACAGAGTTGCTGTCAGGTAAAGGGCTGATGAGAGATTTGCATAAATGTTGGGAATGTGTACCTAATGAGGTGGCCAGTGGATGTGCCATTGCTTTCTGGTCTTCTAAGAGTGACGGTCTAAAAGAGTGTATATAATTTGCAGGTTTTTGTGCTTTGTCAGACTTCTGTTTACTTTTCCTTCAGGGGAGACGGTGACATCACACGGCTCCATTGAACCTGACAAAGACAACATTCGAGAAGAGCCCTACAGCCTCCCGCAGGGCTTCAGCTGGGACACCCTCGACCTAGGGAACCCCGCTGTGGTAAGAAAGCATATAAACACTCACAGCAAGCATGCACAGGAGGAATTCGTCTTTCAGTAACAAAGTCCTGGACTCGTGGTGCTTTGCACTACATTTTGTTAAGAAACTAGTGTTTTGTTTTTTATTCCAAGTTTGTCCTCTCAGTAATTATGTGACTGTTTATGCAGAAGTGCTTGTTGTTTGGTCAGAGTGTAGTAGCAGTCCAATCAGAAACTTTGTCCTTTTGTCAAATGTTCATTGTAGAAATGTGGTTTGGTTTTGTTTTTTAATTTGGTGCTCTTGACTTTTTAAGATGACTCTTATTCTTTTCTTCTCTCCACAACCAGCTCAAGGAGCTTTACACCCTTCTCAACGAGAACTATGTTGAAGATGATGATAACATGTTCCGATTTGACTATTCTCCTGAGTTCCTGCTCTGGTAATTTCTCATATTTAAATATTGTTCAAATATTAATACAAGTGCATAGAAATGTGTGGCATTTTTGACTGACCTTGTCCTCCTCAGGGCCCTGCGACCTCCTGGCTGGTTGCCTCAGTGGCACTGTGGAGTGAGGGTTAACTCCAACCAGAAGCTGGTTGGCTTTATCAGTGCCATTCCTGCCACCATCCACATCTATGACATGTAAGTAAACAGAATAGTTTGGCGGGGGGGGGAGTCGGTATGTTATTCTCCGTCCATTATTTACTTCCCGATGGAACTTGTTTTGTTTCTATTACTGGCCTATGACTAGTATTTCTAATAGATTGTATTCAGTGTGTTATTGAAATAAATAAATGTCTCATGATTGTTTTTTTTTTTTTTCTGCTTTAGAGAGAAGAAAATGGTTGAGATTAATTTCCTCTGCGTCCACAAGAAGCTTCGCTCCAAACGAGTCGCTCCAGTTCTGATCAGAGAGATCACCAGACGGGTCAACCTGCAGGGAATCTTTCAGGCAGTGTATACTGCTGGAGTGGTACTACCCAAACCTGTGGGCACATGCAGGTGGGTGTGACAGGGATATTTTCTAACCCCCAAGCCCTAGGGTTAGATTTCATTCACTGCTTAAATTGGTACTTAATGACGTTTCCTTCGTGCAGGTACTGGCATCGCTCTTTGAACCCTCGAAAACTAATTGAAGTGAAGTTTTCCCATCTGAGCAGGAACATGACTATGCAGCGGACCATGAAGTTGTACCGCTTGCCAGAGGTTGTTGGCGACTAACACAAATTTTCAGTCACTTTAGAAATCGCCTCTTTCTTCCAGCATGTCTTTTAATGTATTCGTCCTTGTCATCGCTCTTTCAGGCCCCAAAGACTTCTGGTCTGCGGCCAATGACCAAGAAGGACGTGCCCGTGGTGCATCGCCTCCTCCGTGAATATCTGAGCCAATTCAACCTGGTGCCAGTCATGAATCAGGAAGAGGTGGAACACTGGTTGCTGCCCCAAGAGAATATTATTGACACTTATGTGGTGGAGGTAAAGAATCCAGAAAAAATCTTTGAGGGGAAAAAAAAACCCTTTAAAATTCTCTCCAAGTAACTAAGGGTTACTTTGTTGTCATTACAGAATGATGGCAAAGTGACAGACTTCCTGAGTTTCTACACTCTGCCCTCTACCATTATGAATCATCCTGTGCACCGCAGTCTAAAAGCGGCATACTCCTTCTACAATGTGCACACCACCACCCCCCTGCTCGACCTGATGTCTGATGCCCTCATCTTGGCCAAATCGGTGCATGTTCAATCTTTAAAAACATGTTCTCTGAAATGTTTACTTTCAAAAACCTAATAATTTTTCCTGTTTCTTTATTCAGAAAGGGTTTGATGTCTTTAATGCACTGGATCTAATGGAAAACAAGACTTTCTTGGAAAAGCTTAAGTTTGGCATCGGTGATGGGAATCTACAGTATTACCTGTACAATTGGAAGTGTCCCAGCATGGGGCCGGAAAAGGTGCGTTTCTGAAATGACTTGTTTCTTTTAAAAGATTTCGTTTTGGGCTTTTTGCCTTTTTAGTGACAGGTTTGCAGTGAAGAGTAGACAGGAAATGGGGGATGGAGTGCAGGAGAAGATAGGGCAAAGTGCTGCAGGTTGGCAAATGTGGGCTGCTGCATTCCTGTCATATGGGCACCTGCTGTAGCACAAATATGAAACTATCTTAAGGGAATTTTAATGTTTCAGGTTAATTTACCAAAAGATATAATTGTTGTCTGTATTAATTTTGGGTATAAATTGTTCTGGTATCATTGTGCTGCTCACATAAGTATTTGCTTTTTATGGTTGTTCATGCAAGAGACTGTTTAACCTGTCACTGCAGTTGGATTCACACTTGTATTGCAGTTTTGTTTGTGGCATCATGTATTTTATTTTATTTTTTTAAAGGCTAATTGTTCACATCTTTCTCATGCATCTAGCTTTTCTGTTACATTTTCATCCAGTCTCATGCAGTACTACTACAGATGCCTTACATGTGCCATAGTGACTCCTGCACAAACCCAAGCTACATTTGTGACTGTTTTCATAACTGCTCCGTTGCTTCTTTTCCAGGTGGGATTGGTTTTGCAGTGACATCCCTTCTAATGCAGAAAGCAAGTGGCACCATCAGGTGAGGAGGTGGCACAATCGCACTGGCCACCTGACAGATGAACTGATGACCTCCTACTTTAAGAATGGAAACCCACCGCCCATTTTTACTTTTTGACCTTTTGAACTTTGACCTGCACTACCGCTGCCAGGCAGGGAGGCAGGGGGGAGTCTTCAGCTCTTCCCTCCTTCCTCGATCACATGGACCTTAAGCCATTGTAGTTACCATCCCAAACAACTGTACATCTGAAAGCTGTCTTGATTGTACCATACTCACAAGAACAGTTTGCACAGGTTACTGGATACCAAACGCTCATTGTTGGTGACAAAGCATACCATATGTGTAAATAATGTCAAACATAACTGCGAATTACACCCTAACGCATACAGACTAGAGCCTACTGTTTGTTGGAAGTGCTTTTTGCAACTACAATAATTCTGTCATCCTTAAGTTTTAGAGATAAAAATCAAAAGGATCAAAATTATTTTAAAGAGAAAACGGCTGAAAAGGTGAGATAATAAATACCAAAAGTGTACACAAGAATAAGGGCTTCTGTTTTAGAGTTTCCTTGTCAACAGTTTTTTGTCGTTTGTATTTTGCTTATCAGAGTCGGTTCTGGCAGTAATGGAGGCATTTGAGCAAAGCTTGAAGATGAATTCCAGAGAAGGCATTTATTTTCTGGAGTTTCTTGTCATTAACTTTCTTCGCCACAGCTTGCTGCACTAACTAGAACCCAGTTACACAGACTGATTAACAGTTCAGACAAAAAGTCAATCATTTTCTACGTGGTTAGACTGCAATGGAGAGGTTTAAGGCATTCTGATCAACATTTATAAGCAGGGATACAATTTATAAGGACACCTTAAGTTCACAGGGCTCCAGTTGCAAAATCCACCTTAAGAAGTCCTTCGATTTGGCTCTCACTGTATACAAGTCTTAAGGGCAAGGGTTTTTTTTTAAGCTCAGTATGCAGATTTTGCTTGAGGGAATCACACAGGATGTCTTAAAGAGTCAAAAACTTAATGTATAAATGTTGCAAACTGTAATAGACCATAAACAGTTGGAGACAAGTTTACATATTTGATGAGCTGACATCACTGATAAGGTACTTTTCCCTGCTACAAGTCCACAATATTATTAACAATCATAAAATTTTGCACCTCACACATCATATTTAGCTTACACTGACCATGCCATTAGGTAGAGTAGGTGGGTGTTGGAACTGGACCTGTGAACAGCAGTCTGGACTTGCAAGACCTGCAGCGTGGATGGATGATAACTGGGGAAATGCCCCAGTTAAAATATTTTGTAAAATGTTGGTTCTATTTGCAAACGGATGTAAAAAAAATAAATAAATAAATAAATAAAATAAAAAATGAATGGTGCAGGAAATGCATGAAAAATATGTAGATGTTTCTTTTAGGGTTGGAAGGGTGTAGAGCAGGGGTCGGCAACCCTGGGCACGCGTGCCACAGTTGGCATGCGAAGGGTTAAGTGATGGCAAGACCATAGCTGGACTGGCCACCGGGCATACCGTGGCTTGATGGATTTTTTTTTTTTTTTTTTTTTTTTTTTTTTTTTGGTAACGGTATAAACAATGGAAGTGGTGGATTGACCAGATGCTGGTCGGTGTGTAGAAAAAAAACAAAACAAAACTCATTTGTTTGGTGGTGGCTATGCCGGAGCCTCCACAGATTCATTAACATTAGTAAGTGGTGGAGGCCAGCAGGTGGATGAGAGAAAGTGGAGGTAGGAGAAGGAGAGACCCGAGGCGGCCGCCGGTCCGAGTGTCAGGTGAACTGAACTTCAGGTAAGAAGTTATGACCTGCAGTCTGTCTGGGTCAGATATAAACCAAGTTTAGGTGTAGTTTATTTTCGTTGTGCTGACTTTTTACAGTCAGTTACAATAACTCGTACTGCGTGCTAGCTAGCATGACGGAGTGTCTATACAGCTGGGTGGGTGCTATGATGTTACTGATAGTGAACTTTAATTCACAAGCTTAGTAGAGTTGCCAACCATCCCATACAAAGATGGAATCGTCCCGCATTCAGAGAAAATATTAGGCGTTTGGTGTTGAGCTGAGAAGGGAGCAGTTTGTCCCGGACTTCAGCTAGAATGGAAAAAGGCACAAAGGTGGATTTATTCTGTTACTCTGCACAGCTGCCTCTTCTCTCTCCCCTGTTGCTACTTCAATCATGAAACTGGTCAATCATAAGCTGATCGGCTTTTCTCTCTTGTTTGTTTATCGCCCACTTTGCGCCAGAAAGAGGAAACCGCCGGATGTCGCGCTAAACAACAGCAGCACGTTTAAGCTTGATCAGCTGTTGTTAGAATTTATTTAATATTTCTTTCTAGTAGCTGATGTTTGCTGGAGCCACAGCTGTAAAACCTGCTGGTCATGATATCGGTTTGGATATCTGGTGAGAGGGAAACATGAAGATGAAACCAGGAGATGTCCTTACTGAATCATTAGAGCTGAAGAGCTGATGGAGAAACAAGTTTACCTTTAAGGTGACATGAATGAGTTGAAGGGTTGGGTTGAATATTAACAAACATGCCATATTGGCCCAGTTTATTTCTCTTATCATTGTTGTGAGGAGACCATAAATAGCGTTTGTATTTTCTGTTGTACAGTTCATTTGCTATTGTGGAGTTCTTGTTATGGATAAAAAGTGTCTTTTTTTTGTTTCAAAACAGCTGATAACTATTTGCTGATAGCTGCCAACATCTGCGAACAAATATTCTATAAAGTGGTTCTATATATTGTGTAACTGTTCATACAGAGCGTTATTAAATTTATTGCTAATGCAATCATATGGCACACTGACTTCTGAGGAAATTTTAAATGGCACTTGTCATCAGAAAGGTTGCCTACCCCTGGTGTAGAGCTTACTGTGAGGTTTTGGTAAAGTCTGATTAAATGGGTGTTAAATATAGCTGTACTTAAATAATTTCCTCCCCAAATACACAAATGAGGGTTTTAAGAAGCTTTGAAACATCACACAATGTTCCTCGGCAAATAAGTGTTTTTTAAACATTTAATAAAATGTCTAAGATAAGCCGGAGCGAGGAATTCTGTAACTGCAAAGGTGGAAGGTGTTTACCTTCTAGGCAACTTTTTAAAACCTTATTACGCAGAGACAGCCCAATTGTAAGATAATTTATTAGCATTATTGTAAGGTCCTTACCTTACAATGTAAAGCGCCTTGAGAAAACGGTTTGTTTTTGTTTGGTTTTTTTTGTTTTTTTTAATAGTTAATTTAATCAGTGGTTTAACAAAAGTAAAACACTGCAAAGAGATGTTGTGGATCATGTACACTACCCTGCTGAAAAGACAAATTTTATGCTTTGGCCATGGAACTTTTACAAATAAGATGAACACTGCTTTATGTGAATAAAGCAGCAGCAAAACACAAGGACGATAAAAGCAGCAGCAATAAAAACGTAATAAATTCATTAGGACACAGTAAATTTCAACTTAAAAACATAATAAACACCAAAGGAAGCTGTCACGTTGAACTTGACGGTAATTGGTCGAAATATAATAACGCGTCCCAAAAGGGAGCTTCTGATTGGGCAGTTTCGCCACCTGTCAGTTATGTGGGCGGTACTGATCTGAGCTGTTAAGTAAAGGCTCTGGTTTTTGATGGAACCCAATGAGGAAGTGAACGCCGTGACTGTGCCGAGTGGTTTGGGAAGGGGCGCAATAATGATCGCTGTGAGCATTATTTGTGCGGCGATTGTCATATTTTTATTACATTATGTCTTCGGCGGCCGCGGGCCTGATCCCTTTGAGAAGGACACTCGTGAACCGCTAAAGAAGAGAGTTTACGACAAGAAAGAGAAAAATAAAGTGCTGAAGCAAGGTGAGTGAAAGGTCCATTACACGCGGAGTTATGCAGGTCAAGTGTCAGCCTTTGCATTTGAACTATTCAAGTCAACTATTTGACTCATTCTTATTTATATTTGTTTGTGGATTTTTATAAGTCAGCAGACAGATGCTTAGCCAGAACTGAAACTAGAAGTTGTTGTAAATTGTGCTAATTTCATGCACTCCTCATATAAACATATATAAATAGATATAAGATGAGATCTGTGGATTTGGAATGGACGTTGCAAAGTTTATAAAAGTGCAAGATTCCTTTGGTACTTTTGCCAAACCAAGACTGCAAAAAAAAAGGGAGCAGCCTAAAAATCTCAGATAATCTCTGCACAAATAAAAAAAGGAAGAAGGAAATCTGGACAAAAACTGGAGATCACAGTCTACAAATTTACAATAAACATGACTTGGATATTTTATGTTATTACATTGGGAAAAAATATGAGGAAAAAAAGTACTACAAAAATGTGTAAATGTCATACTATAAACTAATAAATAAGTCACAAAAAATAGTTTTTTACCCCTCAAAGTTAGAATCCTATAAATATACCCAGTCTGCTGATTTTTATTTTTTTTTTTACCCCATTAAACTTCCCATTTTATTTGGTTTGAGAAATTGTAGTTATATAGTAAGTTGTAGTAATAGCCTGAATACACCATGGTATGAAAGTGAGCAAAACAGAATATCTGGAGTTTTTGTGAATCTGACACCAATAATGTTTTAAAATGATTCTTATTGGTAGTGCATGACTAGGATTCTCCAATTTATTACTGTTATGCTAAAACCATGCTGGTGATTGAATGGTTTGTTTCCACTTCTTTAGGTTTTGTGGCCAATAGAGTACCGGAGAACCTGGATGCCATCGTCATCGGCAGTGGGGTTGGTGGGCTCGGACTTGCCGTGCTGCTTGCAAAAGTTGGAAAAAGGGTTTTGGTTCTGGAGCAGCACAGCCGGGCCGGAGGATGCTGCCACACGTTCACTGAGAAGGGCTTTGAATTTGATGTTGGTGAGATCAGTGACTCGTGTTACCTTATTATTCCCAAAAATTAAAATATATGTATTTTTTAAAGAGGAGAGAAGATTTGACAGTTTTTGCAATGATGATCTTTGGTTTGGTGAATACTTTTCGATCTCGATTAAGGGCTCTGAAGTCTCCTCTCTGTGATCTACACAATCATCCCACAGGAATCCACTACATTGGCGAACTGTTGGACCACAAGCCGTTTCGATGCATGCTGGACCAGATGACCAATGGACAGCTGGAGTGGGAGCCCCTGGAGAACCCATTCGATCACGTTGTGCTGGGACCTCCAGAAAACCGCCGCCGGTACCCCATCTACAGTGGCCGGACTCGCTTCACAGATGAACTGAAGAAGTGTTTTCCAGGAGAGGAAAAGGCTATTGACGAGTTCATGAAGCTGGCCAAGGTAGAATCACAGTTTAGTTTGTGCCTCTGCAACTTAGTGACTTTTATTAGCATTGCAAACGTATTTTTTGAGTAATAAGTAGGCTCATATTTTATTGGGTGGACCTTTATTTGTTATTCCAGCATGTGAAGACCTTTCCTCCTGGGAACTGTGTGTTTATGCACTTTTATTAGCCAACATCTGTGGATGTTGCACAGATAATCAGCTGATAACTCAAAGGTCGGATTCATGAGGCAGCATCTTTTTTTTTTTTTTTTTAGCTGCAACATTACACAACTTCACTCAGACTGAGTTGCGCCAAAGTTTGCCCTTCGGCATGCAAATACAGGAGCAGTTTTTCCTTGGTGCTTTTGGAGGGCACACTTTTTAATTAACCTTCTTCTTCTCAATCGCTTTAAGTTATGCAAACAGTCTTTGTGTCTCTGGTTCAGATCTTTTGAAACGTATAATAATAGTTTCTCTCACAAGAGGATTTTTCTAAGAGACTCTTTATCTTTCTTGGAACCGTGTCAGCGTTAACTAACTTCTCCCAACAGATACAGCTCAATATTGTAAAACTGATCATTTTTGCAGTACTTTTGGTCTATTTTACTCCACAAAACAAAGTGATCCATTTTTGGGAAATTAGAGCATATCAAATATTGATAGCAATAACAATACATTATTAATTTATCATAACGTTTTATGGAGTAATAAGGAAAGGTGCACTTGGACTGGCCTCATGGCACCTTATGGCCAAGTTTTTATGGCCTTCTGGCACCACCCATCTGTTTCACAAACATACTTCTTACATTTGTCCATTCTCCTGTAGAAGTATAGCCAGGAATATATTTCCTTGCTGTTGCCACATGATATGTAATGAGTATGAATATTATGTAAATTTAGTGATAATTTAAAAATATTTAATTATCACTAAATGTATGTAATTTGTAATCACAGGAGACAAGACTACTTTGCTTACACTTTTTTCCACTGTGTGTTTCATGTTCAGAAAACTGGAAACGGAGTTTGGTTCCTCGCTCTTCTGAAGATTCTCCCTCTCCCGCTGGCTAAGTTCCTGGTTCATACCGG